ATATATATATATATATTTGTTAATGATACTGTTCAGTATTGCATAAAGGTTTTATTTTTTGTCTAACCAGTCACAGCAATAAGGAAGATAAGCAAAGATTGACAGTGCATCATCTGCATATGTATGATAAGTGATCATCCAGTCATGGCTAATTCTTAATGAAGCACACTTTCTTCCTTCAGTGATGTAGCAGTAATGATCAGCTCTTTCAGTAAAGCGCCATCCAGCAGGCACACTGGTGTGTCAGAAACTCAGCAATAATGTTTCCTCATTAATATTCTCTTTGCACTTTGAGAGCCAACAAGTGTGTTAAAGGGGCACAGCTCCAATTTAAACGTGAAGGCCAGTTTAGTCACACATCCTGAGAGAAGTTGCATCCTTCCTATCCTATCCTGTGGAGAGCGTTCTAACGGCTGACAAAATGAAATGCTGATGATGTCATAGTGATGTCAATTTGTGGGCATGGAGCCTAAAATGTGTCAAACTCGAAGGGTCAGACAACATGATGCTATTAGTTGCATCATGGGACATGTAGGATGCAGTGTTTTTGGAGTTTAAGCATATGGACAAAAAATAAGAGAATCAGCCTCCACAGCAACATAATCTTTGGTTGCTCTGGTTTTTATAGTTTAGATGCTACAATTCATCCACTTCTTGTGTTTGCACCCAAATATGGTACAAATTTAAACCCAATTTCCTGAAAATGTGCAAATAAAAATGTGAATTGATGTGCGTTTTTAACTATTCCTATAATGGGAATATTAGGAATTGGTTCATTTAGATAAACAGCTGGTGGTGCCATTTAACCATTACCGAAGAAGAGGGTACAACAAGATGATATTATTAAAAAGTCCCAATTAAACCTCAAATGACAGAAAACAATGTAGAAAACATGATGAAAATATGTTTTTTATATTTGTCTCATGTATTTGTTTGAGGAAGGTTACATTCTTCTCATCGTTCCACACACATCTGATGTTTTCGTCTGCAGCTTTTTTTTGTTTTTCGAGTAGTGTGAAGCTTCACTTAGTCTGTTTCCACTGTAATGTGTCGAATTTTGCTTTTATCAGTGCACCAGCTTTTCCAACTCAGCCTAGTGTTTCTACGCTATTTGTGTTTTTTGATATTTTATTTTTATTTATTTCTTTATTCTTGAGTTTGGACTCACTGTTTTCTACAGCACAAATTGGAAATTTGCATAAAAACCAGGTTGATAGAAACGCCCTTAATGGTTTGACACATCCAACAGACACAGAACATCTTGAAAATCTAATCTGAGTGATCTTTACAACCTTATTGCAAGACAAAACATTGATATTCGATGACGCTACAAAATCCCAGATTACGTTCCATGATGTTTAGGATTGTTCAATACCAACATTGTTTAATTACTTAAAAATACAATATTTGTATAATAAGGTTATGCAATTAAAACACTTAGTAAGGCAAATGAGAGGTTGTGGTTACAGTTCAAAAGTTAAAAGTGGAAAAAAACCTACTCGACCATCTACTATGACTTAAACTGGTGGTATAGTTTGCCTGCATTTTATCCAATGCATGCTTTGGCTCCTACTAGTACTACTACTACTACTACTAATGCTACTACTAATAATAATAATAATAATAATAATAGCATAAAGAAAAATCCTTTGGCTTCAATTTCTTTCTGTGTTCAATTCCATCATTAAAGTGTTTCTGTGCATTTTTAATAATTATCCATTTTAAATTATTCATAGACAGCAACCAGGGAATGTTTGTCATCTGTTTTCCTGCTCCATCTCTCCAACATTGCAACTCATTTCATGTCCCATTATGTGCTCATTATTTTCAAATCCTGCTGTTTTTTGGCTCCCTGGCTAACGCATGCAGACGCAGACCAAAACCATCAGAACCCCACCTGGACTAAAACATAGCTAATGATTCAGGTAACATTGTTGTTATTGTCCTTTCAATTTCTTTGCCCTCTCTCTCTCTCTCTACACTCCTACACACATACACAATGCTGATTTTTAATGAATAGTCAGACAGCATAGCTAAACATTGTGGGTGTTAATGGCTAAGTGACAGCGCACCATCACAACCATTGAGACATAAATGATCATGATGCAGGGGCCTGATGTGTGTGGACGGTGTGTGTGGGACTGGTATAGGACATAGTGTGGAAATAGGCTTTGCCTCTCATTTTAAAAATAGAAACTGCTCTGCTTCTAATTCCATAACATGGCGAGGCAGACTGTTTCCATAAAATGAAATGACCTACCACCTGCTCACATTTTGAAAATGACAGGGACGGTTAAGAGCCTGGCCTCGCTGGAGCCGAGTGTAAAAGTTAAAGTAAATTGGTTGGGTATTAGAGTGCAAGTCCATGTAATGACTTGCTGTACGGATTTTAAGATATGCTGTAAAGCTCACAGTCAGCCGGTGAAGTGATGCTCCCTCACCTTTCTGCTCCCAGCTGGGATTCCTGCAGGGATATTCTGGATAGGTTTGCAGATTTCTGTGGTTAGTGTTAATGCAGGAAAATTAAAATGGTCTTTGGTCTGCATCTGACAGAAATCTTGACTCTTTTTCAGCATTCTATAATAAAGAGCAGAAGAAAATGCCACTTATTCTACTTTTATAAAAGTGGATCTAATCAAAAGTCAAAATCAAGGAAGGCAGCTGAAGCTGACATATCATTACTTTAAATCCTTAATACAAAAACACTGGATAATATAAAAATGGCAGTTTTATTTTTAACTTCACCTCCCTGCCTCGTTTTCAGCCATGCTATAATATCAGTATGTTAGTTCAATACTTGGACAAACCAAGTGACTTTTGGTGATGCCCTGACATTTTCTTTAGAGCCACCATGAGGTTGACTTTGTGATTTTGAGTGAAATGTCTAAACAACTATTGGGAGTCATGACGTTTTTTAGAGTAATGTATGTCTTCCTCAGGATGAATTGTAATAGCTTTGGTGATCCCCTAGACTTTTTATCTAGAGCCATCATCAGCTCAAACTTTTTCCAGTACTTTCCCTACATTTATGACCAAATAATTGCAAAGCTAACAATATACCCATCAGCCTCAGCTGGACTTCACTTTTAGTGCTAATTAGTTAATTAGACACAGCTACATACAGCAGTACAGACTAATTATACACAGTATAAACCATAGTACTCTTTATAGTAAACAGCTTTTCAACGCACTCTTTCATTTTATACTATCAGGAAATGATGCAAAAACATGCCACTGCACATTAAATTGTAAGAGAAAGCAAAACATTTTTCAAGAAGGTTATTTAGTTTTTGCTTTTGGAGCTGCTTCACTACCATCTGCAACAGACTTGTTTCGTAATTTTACAGCTGTTGAAAAAACTATTGTTTGTGAATTGTATTGTGGGAGAATAGTGTGCAGGCTGTTTAAAGTATACTTTATTTAGTCACTTTTCCAGTGTGAATACACAACTCAAAACCTGCTTAGTGTGTAGTATGGATTTGGGACTTGCAGGCTCTATGTTATTAATTTGTAGTCTTAGGACCCAAGGCAACACTGAAGACATAATCAGGGTACTTTCTTAAACTTTATAAACCTCCACCTACAGTATAGAAGTGCTGATCATCAGACGTGTGTGATGTGATTCTTATCAGCAGATCTTTTAAGCTCGTCCAGTCCCTAAGTGGTCGTACAGCACTGTTGCAATACAGTGTGACAGTGACACACACACCATAAGACAACACATCAGGAGCAAAATTCAGGTCATTATGTAGATCAGTCAGTCAAGTGGTTCTTTCTCACCTCATGTTGACTAACGCTCGCTCACTCACTGTTATTGCCTTGCTAAGCCATGTTTCGGCTCATCTGTATGTGACAATCTCAGCTCAACCAGACTCAGTCAGCAAACTTGTCCAACAACAATCATTCCTCATTACATACTGAGTGTTGTTTGCTTATCTGCTGTTACTGTCTCATAACCTGATTGGGCAGGGAAACAGATTTTTGTAACAGATGTGAAATTAACTACTATGGTGTAACACTGGGAGACAGCTAACCTACCAGAGCATAACAAAATATTAGCATGGATCTCTTCCCCCCCCGGCAATGCATTGGGTGACTGATGAAGTTGTAACTTGAGCTCATGCAGTAGCTGATGCTGGACACAATCTGTAGCTATGAACTGTGGAACTGCAGAGCATCTGAGCTCGTCTGAGCATGTGGTTCTCACCCTGCTTTGGCTGATGCTCCTCCTTTGCACGTCAAGCGAATGCTGAACGTTCTTCTGTAAATTGCACCCAGGGAGACTTCAAACAAAACCTGAAAACAACACAAAGAATAAATACATTTTTGTTATGATGCTCTCATTTTGACAGCCATTACACTATGCTGTCGAATTAATTTGAGAATGATGTGTATATTTGCTACTTTACATGTGGGAGCTTTTCTTTTGTTCAAGAATAGATTAATTATTTCATTCTGCCTGTTATGGACAGGACTGATGAGTGATAGAGACAATTGAACGGTTCATTTTAGGAGAGATCTGATCGAGAAAGAGACAAAGTGTTCTGGCTATCAGACAGCTTCACGACTATTTGTTCTCAGCTTAAGAGAGCATTGCTCAGAGCGCCAATCCATCGATCATCCTCCATCAGTCTCCATTGGTTCCTGTCTGCCGTTCCTTTTCAATCATTCTATCAACCTGGAGACCCGGCTGTATTGGCTCTGTCAATGACTCACTGCAGCCTTCCCTCAGTCTACTTCTATCAAAGCCCCTCCACTGTATCTTCTCAGCCTTACGTCAGTCAAGGCCTGGAGAATCAGCTAGACAGACAGGTACAGCGTTCTATTTATCTTTCATTCAATCTCTGTCAATCTACACTCTCTGACTTGTCTCTGTCACAGAAAAGAGCCAACCAACCAAGGTGTCCAAAAAGTCAGGGATCACAGGAAAATCACTCTCTCTTTTCGTGACAAAAAACATGGTGCTGCTTATCTCTCTGGACATCAGGGTGCAATTTCCTGGTGAATAGGTTGTGAGGGACAGGGGACCTCACAGGCAATCTGAGTTCATGTAAGGTAAGTAAGTCTTTCTACATTAGAGTTATAAAAGTAGTGGTTATAACCTTGTTAACACTTGTTTGTAGTAAGGAAAGTCAACAACATCCCTCATAGACAGCTGTAAAAAACCCCACAAATACTATAGTTTTCATGAGAGAAAATCCCAGCTGTATTTTACATTAGTCCTGCATTGTAGACAATACCCAAGGTGCCACCACTGTTTTTTCTTTCACATCCATCTTCTCCATGGGATGAATTGTGAGTACTTTTTATTTTATTTATTTTTATTTTATTTTAGTACTTTTATGACTTTTCATCAAGTGCTATCTTCAGGCCATAAGGTATGTTGGCATTGTCATTTTGAGCATTTAAAAAAATATATATATTGACATCCAGACCCAGACCCACTGTAACTGATTGTCACACAGCTGTAGACTCTGAAAACTCTGAAACTTATGCTGCATTGTGGCCTATAAGCTAGTTAGTAATTGCCGTCACTGGACAGCAATTACTAACTGTTTTTTTTAATTGAAATTATTAAAAAGGATTCCAAATTGAAGTAACAAAGAAGCAGGGAAATGGCAGCACTTAGCTAAATTACAGTTTTGCAGCATACTGAACAGCCAGAAGTAGGAAGCTCTTGCTACCGATGTTAAATCTGCAGTCGTTAACCATCTCTCCTATATAACGAACACTGAACATCTAGTTTGTCTAAAATGTACACAGCATGTATCACCAACTGAAACATTGTTTGCGTGGGAGGGATAACCTGGAAGATAGAGGCAGTGTGTGTTCATAAAAAGAAAAATATAATTTTCTATTCCTCCAGTCTTTTTCTTACCAATGCTCTGAATCTCTGTGAGCCTAAGGTGCGTCACATTTCCATTGTTTTTCCCCGAAGTCTGCAAAGACAATAGAAGACAAGAGTCAGAATTACAACCATGCAGACAAACTCACTCAGATCTCTCAACTATCACAGCACCTCATAACACCCCGTTACCTCTGTTTGTTTGTTATTAAGGTGGAGCTTTTTAAAAAAATAAAAGCCTCTCCGCCAGATTAGATTGCACAATGTGTCAAGAGAGATGCTGGTGAAAGTAGCTGCAATCAATTTTAGTTACAGTGAGTGAACTGATGGATTTTCTTTAGCTCAGTGGGACCAATAGGACTGCAGCAGCAAAAGTGCATGTTACTGAAGTCACACCAAAGCAGAAACTGATACTAATTGGATATACTGTTGTTAGTGTCTTTGTGTGTGGGAGAGAGAAGAGATAGCAATGCAAATGTTGGAGTGACACCATTTGGAAAACACTTCCCTGTGTAATTCAGTTATTCACTGTGTTGCACTCATTACACCTCTTGTGATAGGTGACTGTGCTACCGTTTGGATGGATAAAATCAATGTTGTGAGCAGTGGTGGAAAGTTTACCCAAGTACTCTAGTTTTAAAGTGCCATTATTGTATTTCTAATTAAAATTGTACTTTTCTTTCCACTACATTTATCTGCCAGGTATGGTTAGACATTACAAACCTTCTAACAATGCAGTTAAAGATGAGGCCAGCCCAATCTTTTTGGCTTTCGAGCCTTCCACTGAACAAAAATGCCCTTCTTTTCATACTTTCCAACTTCTCATATGGTTGGGTTTATGGTTAATTTGAATATATTTTCTAAACCCCAGGAGGTCAAAAATACATAAAATTGCAAAATACTAACACATATTGACACAAATGTATTTTCTTCTTTCCAAGGTACCCCTGTTGCCTCAAAGTTCCCATCAAGTCCAGAGTACATTTTTCTTTATAATATATATTATTATATATGTTATATTATAGTATGTTTTTGGTAATGTTATGTAACACAACTCTATTTAGGAAAATTGACCATGTGATCAGAAATTAAACAAAAATAATAAATGAAGGTCTACTCTAGAAGTATAGTAAATTTTGACACAGGGCTCCAAGATTATGTAATAATGTAGGACCCAGCTGATATTGTACTTTATTGTACTTAAACACTGTAAACCTGGGACTTTTGGGTCCCCTGGAGGTTTGGGGGCCCGAGGCCATTGCCCACTTTTCCCATTTGTACTTGTACATGAGCCTGCATACAGTATTTATCATGTGATCCACTGAAGGAGGGCAAACACCTATGATGGGAACTACTTGACTATATCTAACTGAATATGAAGTAACAGTAGTAAGCAACTACAACAGTAAAATGCTGCTCACAGGACATGACTCATTAGTATTGACATTAATGTAAAGTACAATAATATATGAGTCACGGGCAATTTGTTACATGTTGCCAATGATACTTGTATGTATTTTTATATTGTTATTTAAATGTCTTATTTTCATTGTATATTTCCTTCACAGAAAAAGGTAACTTTTAACTAAAAGAGAAAAAACGAACTGTTATATACTCAGCATCAGGGACAGAGTCTCTGTTCATACACAACGTACAATAGGCAGAGGACAAGGGGTCAGCACACAAAGGAGAGAACTTAGTCCAGACTCATTCATTGCCTACCAGCGGCCTTCAGTCTATGTTAGTGTTTTCTGTCTGATCACTGTTGGGACCACTGGGATCTTTATAAATTAATTAATATTGTGTGATTTAACTAAACTTTTATTATGATGGTCTCGACGGGTCACTTCCTGTTACCTGTGACCAAGATGACATGTGGTTACAAGCAGTAACAAAACTCTTGGTCATCCCATTGTTTGCTCTCTCTTTCTCTTCTCTCGCTCACTCCTGGACCTGGGTGAAAAAACAGACTATGGCTCACGACACAAGAGCCTGCCTTTTCTTTAATATTCTAAGTTAGCACACTGCTAACAAGAGTAAACAAGCTGAAGTTAGTGTCTGCAGCTGTAGACATAAAGCCTAAAACTGACTTAACAGGAGCGACACAAAGCATTAGCACAGAGCTTCTAACTGCTAACTCTGCAAGGACAATAGGAGCAAAACAGCTTTCCTCTTGCGACCTACACAAGTGCACACCGCACAGCAAGGACTTTTTGACATCGGAAAAACGACTTTCCCCAGCCTTAAGGATGCAGCACACCAGCAAAGCGGGTGTTATTCTTTTCTAACCCCCAAATTCCTCTGTGATCCATGTGTCTTCAAATGCCACAGAGAGCATTTTGGCGGAGCGTCTTTCAGATCGTGTTGCCTGCCATATGTTGTTCACTTGTGTATTTTGTCCTTAAAAAGGATACAAAACAGTGTGTTTCTCAGCTTAAAATCTCCTCTAACCTACCTCTGGTGCCAAAATGTTGATTTAGTGTGAAATTTGATCTGGAATCTGCACACGGTATTTTATTTTGACAATTGACCAGATTCTCAATGTCGTTTCTGTGTCTGACTTCCTGCCAGTGCGATCTGCTCTGTGTCACGGCTCAAAAATAGACTAGCAACGTATTTCTTCACCAACACAGCTGGGGGCCCTTTAAACTATTATTACCCCCAAAAAAATTTTTTTCTTTTAACCATAGTGCCAAAATCATTTACCCAGATTTTTCTTATTCAAAGACAATAATGACACACAAACAGTGTAGGAGAGAGAGAGAGAACAGCACATCAGCCTTATTAGCAGAAAGGATGGGTTATACATATGTTAAGCACACATGACCAGCTTGTCTTCCGTTAAAGTTCAAAGCAGTTAATCATTTCTCTCTCCTGTTACTCATTTTTTTGTCTGCTATCTTGTTCTCCCTCTCTTCTTTTCTGAAAGCTATTGAGGGGAGACCACAGAGCAGACACATGCTGTAGCAGTAATTTCAATGTAATATCTTAGATAAGTATGAATCAGATGGTTTATTATGTGTGCCTTTATTTTATATAATAGCACCCTGAGGCATACATTAATTGTCCCCCAAAGAATGCTTAATTACATATTTGTTCTGTTCATTTCTATAGTTGTCAGTGAATTTAAGAATCACAAAGAGGAGGGCACAGAGGGATCTGCAAATGAAAACCAATTTTAAAATCTGCTTATTTCAAATATATTAAACATTAGTATTTTCAGTCAAATAACCCTGTTTATCTACAACCAGCAGTTCCCAAATTGTTTAAACTATCTCTTCATGGCCCCCTTAGCCATGGCTGACTCAGCCACAATATGTGTTGTTGCAGCTAGATAACTAGCCGAGCTAGTTAACCTAGCTGCGTCTGAGGCTGACTGTGACGGACGGTAGCTGTGATTATGATTGTTAGCCAGGGCTGTGGCATATTCATTTATAATGGGTGTAACACTGAGTACATGCGGGGGTTGTGTATGTGCTGTGAATTGACCTAGTTGAGCTGGATGAGTGTTGTATTGAAGGTACTGAACTCCTGTTGCATTGGTAACACATTTAATTTCTAATGGAAACATTGTGGGTTCAAGTCCCATGTGGCCAAATGATGCTGTCTTAGCTAATGTTATTTGAAGCAGTAAAGAGTTGTCGCAGTACAACTACCATAGTATTGTTGATTCAATGACAAATGCAGCCATAGTCAGAGCCAGGCAGAGCAGCTGCATCTGTGTCCACAGCCATTGGATGTACTCTATACTATGGAGCTCAGCCTTTAGAAAGGAGTAGTGAGCCATAAAAGCATAAGTGTCACAATAAATTGGCAGTGTATTATAACTGCACTGGGCCGACACATTAACTGTTCTTAGGAATGCAAAAAATATTGCAAGGGAATGCAACATTTCATGTGAGGTAACACAAAATTTATTGCAAAGGAATGTAAAAGTAGTTCAGAAAATGTCCACCATGACCCTTCAGGGTCTTTGTATAGTCTAACCAGCTTTAACTATGACCTCAGTAATAAAAATATAATTAAAGTTACACATTTAGAACAGTATCACCATAAACTGAACATTATGATCCTCGTAAAGAACCCAATAAAGTGGCCACTGAGTGTATGCAGCTGACTACACATTAAATCAGCTTGCCTGTTAGCCAACACAGGCTTGCATATGTAACATGCTACTACAGCCCTTTAGATCACACTTAGGTGCTTTTCAAGTTGTACAACTGAGAATTGACCTAGGAAAGTGTTGAGTGAAGTTAAACTTAATTTATCTGAGTTGATCACTCTTTTGTAATCAGAATTGTAGTGGTGAAAGCGTCTTGTGTACAGTCACAAAGGTTTGCTTCTAGTTTTCCAAAGGTGATTGTGGGGGTGGGCGTGGTTGCATTAGAGGGTCATACACAGAATAGAGAGAGATCCAACAACACTGGAGCTTGTTGTTCAGACTGGGGGGCATTTAATGTGCCTCACTGGGAAGTTTTGTCTTTGCTCTCACCACAGGTTTCTTCAGAGCCTAACGTCTTTTCTTCATCGTATTGCCTTGAAAAAATTTTGTAAACATGGATTTTTTCACCTTGTTATTAGCTTTCACCCACGTGCTTGATGCTCTTTTAAATCAGCTTTTTTTGTATTTAAGAATGGATCAAATAGCTATTGTGTTGGAATGGTGAAAGATATTTTACTCTAGTGGAAAACCCTACTGAGAATTATCCCCAATTTGAATAGTATTGAAATTAAAAGACCTTTTACTTACCAGGTAAATGTCTGGGTGTTTTGGGTTTGCAGTGCTTAAAATAAACAATAAAAAGGTGCAAAAAAATAACTTAATCATACTATTCTACAAAGAGATCTGAAATAGCTTCAACAAAAACTTTTCTCTAAAAACTATTTTTGGGAAAGGGTACCTTACAGAAGTTGTAAGAACAGTTGATTTGCAGTTGATACTTAAGCGAAGTATTGGTGTTTTAATCAGTATCGCAGGTGTTTTTAATTCTCTAATAATCACTCATTGCAGCCAGGTTTCAAAGGACGAAAATAACTCAATTTTGCTGTTTTTGTGCGACTGTGGCTGCCCATGGGACACAATAGGCCAGCATTTCTGGAATTTGGCTCGCCTTAGAGGAAAATTGGCATGAGATTGGGAACAAAAGAGTTGCGTCGAATGGTTGAGAAAGCACCAAAAGAAACTTCAGAATTAGAGCCAAGCTAATCTTCAAGTTCAAGGAAGAATAGTTTCAAGTCGCACCAATTCCTCTGGAGTGAAAATGGCTCCATGATAGAAGACCTAGGGAAGACCCTAAAGGAGGGAGACTCAAAAGGCTGTACTGTTTTTCGACTTGGACTGGAAATTTTGGAGAAAACATGATAGCCCAGTGCAGAAAGCTGTGGTTCCTTTTTCTAGCAAGATAATGGCCCAAACCATACACTCAAATATCACAGAAAGACCATGGGTGAGAAGTGGCCTCTATGAGTCCTGGATCTGTGGAAGGAGCCGTCTAACTTTTCCAGCTGAAACAGTCACCCATCAAATCCTGAGAGAACTTGGAAGCAGGTTTTGCTCAAACACTGTGTGCCCAAACTAACCCCAAGTGGAAGTGCAGAAACCTTGTTCAGAGTAACAAAATTACTTTCCATGAGTTCTACGATGTTGAACCCCATTTTCTACAGTACGCCAATAGGACAAATCAAACACCTTGCCTCTTAGTTCAATATTTTCAGGTATTTCACAAGCCACCATAGTTTCTCTACATGCGTTGAAGGATGAATGGATGTAAATACAAATGAAGAAATTTAAGGTTAATGTCTACTTCACATTGTTCTTTTCATTTATTGTTGTTGGTAAAACAATGTCAATGAAAAAATTCTAAATGCTTGTTAATAGCTAACAGCGGTGTAGGAGGATACACTGCTTTAATAAAGATAATTAATCACTGCAAGATTATTATACACTCGGTAAATGGGCAACCACCTCCGTTGTCTAGCTGCTGGAATAATCCGGAGGAAATATTCACAGCATCTAATAGAAAATTTCAATTTAATCAATTTATATCAACTCATTATTCTATATTCAATATTCAATATTCAATCTGACAGCTAGTAATTCTTTACACGATTCCTCGACTTCCCCGCATAAAATCAAATACACCGACAAAGCTCACATATTGGTGCAGATATGTTTATTAACTAAATTAGTGTAGAGTAAATATGAAATGATAACGTAGACACAATTTGACAACAAAAACGCAGAATATTGGACCAGTATATAAGAATTATGATATTAGCGTGATTCAGGGACCGATGGTGGAATTTTGTGATGCCGCCATAAGTTTAAAAAAAAAAAAAAATATATGGGAAAGCAACATTTAAAAACTACGAGCCCTAATTCAAAAATTCTCTTAAACTAAATGACGGGGACAAGCTTACAGACAGACACCAACTCTTTTTCAGTGTGGTGTGAACCCGGCCGCTGTACCGGAGAGTCAGCCTACTTTGTTTGTAGATGGAACTTGGAAGGATTTCCAGGCCCTTGGCTTTCCTCCTGCTCGACTGCCAGCTTTGCCATCACTGGGTCCAACAGGCCGACGGAAGTTTTCTCGCCTTCCTGGGTGGTCAGTGCTTCTCCAGAATGCCCCAGCTGCGGCGTTGTCGCACTAGTGGGAGCGCTGGAGCGCAAGGTGACTGGAGAATAAATGATCTGCGTCCAGCTGGAAAAGTTTCGTTGAGCAGCAACTAATGCGACAGTCTTTTGGCTCATAGGTACATGTCTGTTAGAGGTGCGTTGGCGGCCGTCGTTCAGCTTTGATTTTGATTCTAGACTAAACTCAGCTTCTTGTTCGAAAAGTAATGGGAGGATGAAACGCTGGCCTGGGCGAATTCTCGGTAGGCTTAATGAAAAAGTTAAGAGAAAGAAAAGAGTTAGATTAAATTCACTTTCTCGCTGAATAAGGCGACAATACTTGACGATTATATATTATATATGGACTGCAGAAAAATAAAAATAAAAGAATAAATTTGCTCGGTGTCTTGACGCTTTAAAAATAAAAGTACTTGGGGAAAATTACTTGGAAGATGTGACTTCAGCCCCCGCTCACCTTACTTGGGAGGAAAATTCAACACGTGTCGCAAAACGACAGTAAAGTACTACTTAAAGTAAGAACGAGATAAATAATGATTCTTAGAAAAAAATAAAAAGTAAAAGGAAGAGAGGAAACGGAGAAGCAACAACGGACGAAGAGAATAGCTGAAGAAAGAGAAGGAAGGAGAAGTAAGGAGCTGGGGCTGGAGTTTATCCTTTTATCTCTCTATTTCTGAAGGCGGAACTGACGGAGAGGAGATGGCCCTGCGCGTCACTTCCTCTGGTGATTTCCTTTTCTGAATCAACGCTGAACTTTTAATCAACTTTACTTCCTATCGGTTTAAAGTTTTCCGAGATCATGATTCACCGTTCACAGAACCCACCATGATTTAATTTACATAGTTTACATGTTTTAACCATAACATAATTATAAAACCAAAAGTTGTTTGGCAAATACCTTATTACGTATACCAGCAATCTTACCAACAAGCGTGGCCACTGTCGGCTCCATCAAACATTCAGACATTTATACATGAATTCTTGTAACTCAGTTACAATTTTCTGACACAGGACATTAAAAGCAACCCATACATTTGCGACCCTTCTCATGCGGAGGCAATCTGTGTAATTAGGAGGAAGATGAAATTTACCTTTAGTACTTAATCAGGATAAATCATATCAATGTAACGTGTTCTGCTGTAGACTGGGTACCATGCTTATCAAAAGAAAAACATCGTCAATTCACGCCGGTGTGGGACGGCGGCAGAATGAGATGCTGGATTCAAAGGATTTTCTTCTCTGGAGGTAGCTGTCAGACTAAAAGGAGTGTGACAATTTAGGATCTGAGAACCTTATTTAACAGTAAAAAAGGCACTTAATTATCAAATCTCCCCTAGTAAAACAATATGAGTTTCCGAAACATGAGTGTAAGAGGTGTCTTTTTCTGTGACGAAAGAGGGTTTCAGTATAAAAAGAAAGGTGATGACCATAGTAAGTAGATGAGTGATTCAAGCAGAGAAGGCTTCTCAAGGATGCTTGGACAGAAGTCTTATCTCTTTCTGGGTCAAAGGTCAGAGAAAGAGCCTTTCTGC